ACCCTTTGAAAAAATCGAAATTTTTATTTTTCGGATTTTTTGAATTTTGACTTGAAGCGGATCTAAATTAGTCGAAAAAAACTCCAAGATCATTCCCAAATCTCGATTTCAGAAGGGAAAAAAAAATCAGAAAGAAAATCTCAATTTTCAGGTTTAATTTTTTTAAAAATCCTGACAAGGTTAGGGGCAATTGTCAATACTTCCATTAAATTTTGAGCAAATCAAAATAAATTATATGTGGTTGGAAAGAGCATTAAATTCTCTATAAATCAGTGCTAGATTGAGTTTGATAACGCAAATACTTTTAAAGCAATTGAGCCTCAAAGTTGGATTTTAGTTAAAATTTAGTCAAAAACTTCCAATTCGATTTTCTCAAAAACCGTAAATGCCAACGACTTCCACTGAGTACCATTTTGGAGCCCTCATCAAGGGCTACAATCTCAAAAAAAAATTGATCCAGAATCTTTGACGGTTTTCCAGAAAATTGAGTTTGAAAATTTTGAAATTAAAATCCAAAGGGGTTTAACCCTTTGAAAAAATCGAAATTTTTATTTTTCGGATTTTTTGAATTTTGACTTTTTCAATCGATAGAGCGGGTCTAAATTAGTCAAAAAAACCATAACATCATTTCCAAATCTCGATTTCAAAAAGGAAAAAAAATTAAAAAGAAAATCTCAATTTTCAGGTTTAAATTTTTTTCAAATCCTGACAAGGTTAGGAGCAATTGCCAATACTTCCATTACATTTTGAGCAAATCAAAATAAATTATATGTGGTTGGAAAGAGCATTAAATTCTCTATAAATCAGTGCTAGATTGAGTTGGATAAAGTGAATACTTTTAGAGCAATTGAGCCTCAAAGTTGGATTTTAGTTAACATTTAGTCAAAAACTTCAAACTCGATTTTCTCAAAAACCGTAAATGCCAACGACTTCAACTAAGTACCATTTTGAAGCCCTCATCAAGGGCTAGATCTCAAAAAAAATTGATCTAAAATTTTTGACGAGTTTCCAGGAAAATGAGTTTGAAAATTTTGAAATTAAAATTCAAAGGGAAAAAATCGAAATTTTTATTTCTCAGATTTTTTGAATTTTGACTTCTCCAATCGATAGAGCGGATCTAAATTAGTCGAAAAAAAGCTCCAACATCATTTCCAAATCTCGCTTTCAAAATGGAAAAAAAATCAAAAAGAAAATGCCAATTTTCAGGTTTAAATTTTTTTTAAATCCTGACAAGGTTAGGAGCAATTGCCAATACTTCCATTACATTTTGAGCAAATCAAAATAAATTATATATGGTTGGAAAGAGCATTAAATTCTCTATAAATCAGTGCTAGATTGAGTTTGATAACGCAAATACTTTTAAAGCAATTGAGCCTCAAAGTTGGAATTTAGTTAAAATTTAGTCAAAAACTTCCAACTCGATTTTCTCAAAAACCGTAAATGCCAACGACTTCCACTGAGTACCATTTTGAAGCCCTCATCAAGGGCTACAATCTCAAAAAAAAATTGATCCAGAATCTTTGACGGTTTTCCAGAAAATTGAGTTTTCAAATTTTGAAATTAAAATCCAAAGAGGTTTAACCCTTTGAACCCTTTGAAAAAATCGAAATTTTTATTTTCCAGATTTTTTGATTTTTGACTTTTCCAATCGATAGAGCGGATCTAAATTAGTCGAAAAAAACTCTGACATCATTTCCAAATCTCGATTTCAAAAGGGAAAAAAAATCAAAAAGAAAATCTCAATTTTCAGGTTTAAAATTTTTTAAAATCCTGACAAGGTTAGGAGCAATTGCCAATACTTCCAATAAATTTTGAGCAAATCAAAATAAATTATATATGGTTGGAAAGAGCATTAAATTCTCTATAAATCAGTGCTAGATTGAGTTTGATAACTCAAATACTTTTAGCCTCAAAGTTGAGTTTTAGTTGAAATTTAGACAAAAACTTCAAACTCAATTTTCTCAAACACCGTAAATGTTAGTGACTTCAACCAAGTACCATTTTGAAGCCCTCATCAAGGGTTACAATCTCAAAAAAAATTGATCCAAAATCTCTGACGGGTTTCCAGAAAATTGAGTTTGAAAATTTTAAAATTAAAATCCAAAGGGGTTTACCCTTTGAAAAAATCGAAATTTTAATTTTTCGAATTTTTTGAATTTTGACTTTTCCAATCGATAAAGCGGATCTAAATTAGTCGAAAAAAACTCCACGATCATTTCCAAATCTCGATTTCAAAAGGGAAAAAAATCAGAAAGAAAATCTCAATTTTCAGGTTTAATTTTTTTTTAAATCCTGGCAATATTAGGAACAATTGCCAATACTTTCATTAAATTTTGAGCAAATCAAAATAAATTATATATGGTTGGAAAGAGCATTAAATTCTCTATAAATCAGTGCTAGATTGAGTTGGATAAAGTGAATACTTTTAGAGCAATTGAGCCTCAAAGTTGGATTTTAGTTAACATTTAGTCAAAAACTTCAAACTCGATTTTCTCAAAAACCGTAAATGCCAACGACTTCAACTAAGTACCATTTTGAAGCCCTCATCAAGGGCTAGATCTCAAAAAAAATTGATCTAAAATTTTTGACGAGTTTCCAGGAAAATGAGTTTGAAAATTTTGAAATTAAAATTCAAAGGGAAAAAATCGAAATTTTTATTTCTCAGATTTTTTGAATTTTGACTTCTCCAATCGATAGAGCGGATCTAAATTAGTCGAAAAAAAGCTCCAACATCATTTCCAAATCTCGCTTTCAAAATGGAAAAAAAATCAAAAAGAAAATGCCAATTTTCAGGTTTAAATTTTTTTTAAATCCTGACAAGGTTAGGAGCAATTGCCAATACTTCCATTAAATTTCGAGCAAATCAAAATAAACTATATGTGTTTGGAAAGAGCATTAAATTCTCTATAAATCAGTGCTAGATTGAGTTTGATAACTCGAATACTTTTTGAGCAATTGAGCCTCAAAGTTGAGATTTAGTTGAAATTTTGACAAAAACTTCAAACTCAATTTTCTCAAACACCGTAAATGCCAACGACTTCAACTGAGTACCATTTTGAAGCCCTTATTAGGAGCTACAATTTCAAAAAAAATTGATCCAAAATCTTTGACGGGTTTCGAGAAAATTGAGTTTAAAAATTTTGAAATTAAAATCCAAAGGGGTTTTCCCTCTGAAAAAATCGAAATTTTTATTTTTCAGATTTTTTGAATTATGACTTTCCCAATTAATAGAGCGGATCCAAATTAATCGAAAAAAAACTCTAACTTCATTTTCAAATCTCGATTTCAAAAGGGGAAAAAAATCAAAAAGAAAATCTCAATTTTCAGGTTTAAATTTTTTTTAAAATCCTAACAAAGTTAGGAGCAATTACCAATATTTCCATTGAAATTTGAGCAAATCAAAACAAATTATATATTATTGGAAAAAGCATTAAATTCTCTATAAATCAGTGCTAGATTGAGTTTGATAACACAAATACTTTTAGAGCAATTGAGCCTCAAAGTTAAATTTTAGTTAAAATTTAGTCAAAAACTTCAAACTCTATTTTCTCAAAAACCGTAAATGCCAACGACTTCAACTGAGTACCATTTTGAAGCCCTTATTAGGAGCTACAATTTCAAAAAAAATTGATCCAAAATCTCTGACGGGTCCCGAGAAAATTAAATTTGAAAATTTTGAAATAAAAAACCTACCTTCAAAAACTCAAAACTTTCATTTTTCAGACTTTCGTAATTTTAACTTTTCCAATCGATAGAGCGGATCTAAATTAATCGAAAAAAAATCTAACATTATTTTAAAATGACAATTTTAAAGGAAGATTTTTTGGATCTAAATTTTTAAAAAAAATCCTGACATGTTCATGAACAATTGCCCATATCTTCATTGAAATTTGAGCAAACTTAAACATATCGTATATCTGCATGTGAAGAAGAGGAAGGTTAGAGAGCACAGGCTGAGAGAAAAAAATGAGAATACATTTATTGCGTATTAATCACATTGAAATCTGTCAGTTCTGTGTTCTGATTGGTTGATTTTTTCAAATTTGTCTTCGAATAAGAGAAAAGAAAAACCTTGTATTAATTCTTCTTTATTTAATTCTCAATTTTTATCTATTCCCGGCTACTAAACTTTCCTTTTCTCTTAAATTTCTCAAGGGCTGGTTTATCCACCTTCTGATAAACTGTCTGGTATGCAATATGACTAGTTATCCGCCGACCAATAGAATTTATTTTGCTGAAAATTATCAGATAAATAAACCAGGCCTAAATGGAGAAAATTCAAGAGCCGGGAATAGAAACAAAATGCATTATGTCTATTGAAATCTTTCTAGAATTTTTAGTAAAAATCAAATAATATATAGGGTGTCTCATTTAATATGAGTTAGTTGAAGTCAACTTCCAGTAAGCCTCACCATGTTGAAAATATTTTAGCCCTTATTGACATTTAATATACTGACAGATTTCAATGTCATTAACGTTGAACTTCTATCAATCAAAAACGGTTTTAAGTCAGAATTGGCAAAAAAACAAACCTAAACCCTCATATACATAATTCAATCATTTGGAAGACTATTATATTAATCTCCAAACATTTCTTTTTACAATTTACCAGACGACGAAGCACTACTCTTCTGACAGCTGCTCAGAGCCATCCGTTGCATTTGCCTAATGACAGCTGTAGCGTGATACGCTTGCCGCCATCTAGATTTGGCAAAGTTCTTTTTCAGTTGCTCAGAAACGGTGCCGTGGATGTTTTTGCTCGAGGCCTCATTGCCTGAAATCCAGGGATGATCTAAAGCCTGTTTGCAACTAAAACGTTTCTCTACAGTCTACATTGACACAAATTAGATTTTTGATAAAATCTTTGACAGAATCTCTTATTTCGTCCCAGTAAGGTGAGTCAAATTCGAATTTGCCTTTTAGTATTTGGGTAAACAAGTTAACATCGTTTTCGTCGTAAAAGGGCGGATAGCCACAAAGTAGGATATAATATATGACTCCTAGACCAAACATCTATTGGTATAAGGTTTTTGGGCTAAGACTTCTGAGGCTACATACCCAGGGGTGCTACAAGCTGTAGGCATTATACTGCCATCTTCCATTTTTGATAAGCCAAAATCACTTATCATTATTTTGCTTTCTTTGTCAGGGCTGTAGTAGAGTAGGTTTTCGGGTTTTAAGTCCCGATGGACTACACCTTGCTGGTGCATGTAGTCTACTGCTTCCAAAACTTGGCAAATTAAGTGGGCTGCATCTTTTTCTGTATAGGAGCCTTTTTCTACTATTCTGTCAAACACATAAGCGCAACTAGGCTCCAAATTTGAGGGGCACCATTTTTTTTTTTTTTTAAATATGAAAGGGTGAATTTTCCCTAATTTTGCTTAAATAACTCAATTTTCCAGAATTTTTTCTCGAGTCATTTTTCACTAGAAAATTTTGAAATTTTCTTACATTGAGTTCCCCACTTTTTTCTTCTTCTTCTGGAAAAATTCCACAATTTTTGCTTTGCCAGTTTTCCAGAAAAGAAATGAAATGTGAAAGGATGAATTTTGCATAAAAAAGTCAATTTCCAGAACTTTCCTATCGACTTTCCTTGGAGTGATTTTTCACTAGAAAATTTTGAAATTTTCCTATAATGAACTCCTCATTTTCTTCTTTCTTCTGGAAAAATTTCACAAGTTTTGCTTTATCAGTTTTCCAGAAATAAATTAAAATGTGAGAGGATGAATTTTCCTTAATTTTACTTGAAAAAGTCATTTTTTCAAAATTTTTCCTGGAGCGATTTTCCATTGGAAAATTTTGAAATTTTCTTATAATGAGCTCCTGACTTTCCTCTTTTTCCTCTTTTGTCAGTTTTCCAGAAAACAAATGAAATGTGAGAGGATGAATTTTCCTTAATTTTAAAAAGTCAATTTTCCAGAATTTTCCCTAGAGTGATTTCTCACTGAAAAGTTTCGTAATTTTCCTATAATGAGCTCCTCACTTTCCTCTTTTTCTTGGAAAATTTTCAAAATTTTGCCTCTGCCAGTTTTTCAGAAAAAAACTATTGAGCCTCAAAGTTGGATTTTAGTTAAAATTTAGTCAAAAACTTTAAACTCGATTTTCTCAAAAACCGTAAATGCCAGCGACTTCAACTAAAAACCATTTCAAAGCTCCCATCAAGGGCTACAATCTCAAAAAAAAATGATCCAAAATCTTTGACGGGTTTCGAGAAAATTGAGTTTTCAAATTTTTGAAATTAAAATCCAAAGGGGTTTAACCCTTTGAAAAAATCGAAATTTTTATTTTCCAGATTTTTTGATTTTTGACTTTTCCAATCGATAGAGCGGATCTAAATTAGTCGAAAAAAACTCTAACATCATTTCCAAATCTCGATTTCAAAAGGGAAAAAAATATGAAAAAGAAAATCCCAATTTTCAGGTTTAAATTTTTTTTAAATCCTGACAAGGTTAGGAGCAATTGCCAATACTTCCATTAAATTTTGAGCAAATTATATATGGTTGGAAAGAGCATGAAATTCTCTATAAATCAATGCAAGATTGAGTTTGATAACGCAAATACTTTTAGAGCAATTGAGCCTCAAAGTTGGATTTCAGTTAAAATTTAGTCAAAAACTTCAAACTCGATTTTCTCAAAAACCGTAAATACCAACGACTGCATCTGAGTACCATTTTGAAGCCTTTATAAGGAGCTGCAATTTCAAGAAAAAATTGATCCAAAATCTCTGACGGGTTCTGAGAAAATTAAAATAAAAATCCAAAGGGGGAAAAAATTCAAAAACTCAAATTTTTCATTTTGGTATGATTAGGGCTCTCGGGAACGGGGTAGAAGGCATACTCCGATTGAGTTCATTTTGGTATGCATATAAAGCCGCTGAAAGAAATTTTTCCAAAAAAAAATTGACTTTAGCGGTTACCTTGACCGTGACCTTGACCAGTAAAATTCACGTAAATATCAATTTATCGTATTCAAAAATAATTCAAACAAGAATGTTTTATATTTGAAAAAGGGTTTTTCACGTTTTTGGTAAATCTACGTTTCCGAGAATTTTCTCTTTGAGATTTTGCGAGCGGAGCGAGCAATCGGAGACTCAAAAATAATTTTATATCCTACTGAACTATTAAAACCATATAATACCTTGGTTACGATAATCATAAACAGGGTCTTAACTCCCAAGGGAGTTAAGGATTTTCATAACTCCCAAGGGAGTTAAGGAAGGGAGTTAAGGATATCATAACTCCCAAGGGAGTTAAGGATTTCCATAACTCCCGCTTTTACCTTGAATAGGTAACACTATGACAAAAAATAGAAATTTTGATTTATGGCTTATTCCTTTATAAAAATAGACAGAATACAGTAAATTCAGTAGGATATAAAATTATGTATGTACCACGGGAATTATCAGGAGTTAATACCCACGGGCAATTGGTGTCCCTCGGGCCGGAGGCCCTCGGGACACAAACGTTGCCCTGGGGTATTAACACCTGCATAATTCCCTTGATACATAAATAACTATAAACATGAAGCTATTATATTTGAAAAAGGTTTTTCACGTTTTTGGTGAATTTACTCTTCCGAGGATCTTTTCTCTGAGATTCAGCAAGCGGGAACGAGTAATGGGCTCCTCGAAAAACTGTTGATTAGAAGAACTATCCATTCGAATAACTGTCCATTTAAAGAACTGTCCTTCGAAAAACTGTCTTGAAAAATTGACATTCGAATGCGGGGTTGCCGTTTCTCTGGATTACCTTGAAATGTAGATTATTTATGATGCTCTTTGATGCTATACATAATTTCAGGATGATAAATTGACATTTTCGTGACTTTCACTGGTCAAGGTCACGGCTAAGGTCAATTTCTTTCAGCGGCCTTTATATGCATACCAAAAATGAAGTCAATCGGACTACGCCTTCTATTTCGTTCTCGAGAGCCCAAACTGAGAATGCGGGGTTGCCGTATCTCTGGATGTGTATGACCTTGAAAGCTAAAACTCGGTATATAGGTTACTTGAGATGCCTTTTAACACTATACAAGTTTTCAGCACGATAAACTGCCATTTACGTGAATTTTATTGGTCAAGGTCATGATCAAGGTCACAGTCAAGGTCAATATTTTTTTGGATTTGGTGTGCACTGAGTGTATTCGTGTCTTTTTTTACTAGTTTGTATAAAAAAGAGATGGAAATACATTTTTTCTGAACTGGTTTTAGCAGCAAAGGATTAGTTAAAATTCACAAAATTATTAGGTTTTGGAAGAGAAATTTAAAACGTAGCAATCTTAGTCTAAAAATGTAGTAACCCTAACGCAATTTAACGTTTCAAAGTAGGCCCTGTAGTTTTTGACAGTTAATTTAAAATGGGTTGTTTTCAAGACCTACTTGATTTGGTAAATTTTTTGCTTACAGTTATCTGTATTACCGACATCGATTAAAACCTAAGCAAGATATCTACGTCAACTGATTTTCCCCCTCCTAAACTTACAGTCTACTCCAGGCTAGAGTAGAAATGGGAAACCGTTATTTACAAATAACGCAGTTTTAGCTGTCAGTATTATTTTCAATTGGCCGTCTACCCAAATGAGCGAGTATACATACGTTCGTAGTACATACTCAATCCCACATATTCTGTCTTTTAGAAAATAAGTTGTGTCTGGCGGCTCTGAGCTCTTGGACTATAATTCATTATTGATTATTTTTGATATAAAAATTAGTTTTTGATCCCACTGAAATCTCACATGCTTGTATCTTATAATTCTAAGGTGGTTCACCCCTCAACTTGAAAATTATACTATAGTACGTACTTTGTGGTTTTTATTTACTAATTAATTTTTTTTTTCTTACAGCACGTCGAACTGGAACTGGTGAGTAGACAAGGAATATTATCCCCAAACATCAATGGGCCAACACAAGCAATGAGTTTAAAAAAATTTAAGAAATCAAGACCCTCTTAACTTTAAAAGGTCTGATTGCACAAATTGTAAGTCACGTATCCGCCTTAAACTTTGTTGTTCCCTAAATACACTTTGGCCTGACAATAATTAATACAATCTAATTCGCCTCACGTATAGAGGGGCGCCACTGACCTTATAAAATTGGGGATATTTACCAAGGCACGCCTTGCACAAGGGATGTCATTTTTTTCACCTACATTTGGCCAATTAGGAGGTTCGCGTGTGGAACGCCGTTAGTGCATTATTGATTAATATTATTCCTAGTTTTTTTTTTTTGCACGCCGCAGTTTGTGTACCCAAAGTTAATTTTTCCGGGAGAAAAGCTCCATGTTACGGTTCGCGAAAACGCTTCCTGTTTTTGGCTTGGCGGACTTGTTTATACGGTTGAAAATTGCGTTAGCAAAAAGTTTTACCGAACGTAATGAAGACTAAAAGGTTTTGGAATTAGATTTAAAATTGCGACTCTATGTAGGTGGGAGTGTTAATTCGAAAACTTCCCGAACTCTGCTCGGTTTATTGAAAAATTTATTCACACCTCCTTCAAGCCAACAGGTGCTGAATATGCTTATAAAAATATAATCAAGCTATTCGATATTCAAAGATTAAATATCACGTCGCTTTTGTTCACCAAATCGGTTTCGTCATTATCGAAAAGTCGTCACAATAAATTGCTGTTTGCGAAATTTAATAGCGCGGTTCACGTTCCCCGCATAAGGCCGAAATCAATTTTTAACTGACGATATTTTATTTCGTCCCAAGCAGAAGTTTCCACCCCGGAAATTGGCTTCTCTCTCTCGCGATTATTATACGTGACCATTTTAATTAATTCTCAATTTTCGGGGACGAACATTTTCTCTGATAATGTAGCTGAAAAATCGGCGACTTTAAAAAATAATTAATAGAGGGGGTTTCGAAACGACACTTCGTTCTAGAACAGGCACATTATGTGATTAATTGATTGATGGTCAGATGGGATTTTATAATGTTAACTTTGTAATGCAGCTTGAGCAATGTTAGCAGCTCCACCAGTTAATGCGCCTAGGGTGCTTAGTCCAGTAAATAGTGATATCAGTGGAATATTATATAGATATGTTTGTAGTTTGTGTTATATTTATTCCGTCTCAAAGATCTTATTACAATATTAATTTCCTGAAATATACGATCCGTCCTTGTCCAACACCCCAGCCAGATATAAACTGTTATGCAAAGATCCAGTCCAAGTTATTGTCCTTTTCTCAATGCCTGTTTACATTATTTAGACAGAGTACAATTATGCTAATTTGTAGTTCTGTTTTGTAACAGGGCCTTTTGTTTTGGATGTCATCGGCAGACTTAGCAGAATTGGGACACCGATAAAAGTTGCAGAATAAGATTTGCGCGACTCCACTGCTGCTAGAGATAAAACATCTTTAATATTTGAGGCGATCCGGGATAGAATTTCTGAAAACCAGCTGTTTCAACTTTAAATTACTTACGAGAGGGTGTTTTATCGATCTTATTGCTTGTATTTATAATGTCAAATATTTTACAGAAACCCACTTATTTTGTTGCATGCGCTTACTTTTTAATTGAAGTAATTTTTGCACGATTGCAAAATTATAATCGCGTCTAAATTTGGAATATATGCTCCTTGATCTAATAGACGTGACGTTCAAAGTTAAACTGCGTGCATCGAATTTGCCGCTGTTGATTGAAGGCTGTATACATCGAAGCTTCAGTTATTTATTGCCAAACTTTGCTTTATTAGATTTATGTTTGCGGTTTATAATTTAAGTAGGAAGTTGGATGAATAATGGATAAGGAATATAATGAGTCTAATAAGGCACTAGCTGACGTCACAGACAAAGCAGGTTCCCCTCAAGGGATTAGGGACTACTCAAGTTAGATAAGTGTGTTGTATTGTCTCAATATCTGGAACCTATCAAACCTTACCGACCCCTTCTTGGAATAAATCACCACAGCAACGCAGTTTTCTACTATAATATTGAAGCCCTTCAAGTTTTTATTTCAATTTTAATTAACTATCTATATTACCTATATTATATGAAACTTGCCCGTCAGGTTATATATTGTTACTTTAATTTTAATTATTTATCTATATTATTCCATAATAATAAATTCACCCTTCAGGTTACGTATCGTCACTTCAACTTCAATAAATAATTATCTATATTTCTCTAATATCCCCTAAATACATGCTGCACTGAATACAGCAAAATACTTGTACACTGGGATTAAATGGCCTTGGGATTCAATGAGCTTGTTTAATAATTCACATTTCAGGTATTATTGCTGTTATAAGTGTTACATGATACTCTTTATTTTACTTTAAGGGACTCAAGTTGAGTTAATATACTGTAAATATTATTTTTAAAACATAAAGTTAGGTACTCCTAGTCGATTTATTTTGTTCTTGTTCTGGTTCTGGTGTTAATAATTTTCAGTGTTCTAGAGCGTTCGGAAAACACACTCCGAACCTACTCTTGAGTCAAACCTGTTCTGGTTCTAATTAAAAACCCGTACCTGATTGTAGCAAAGCGTTTCACTTCTCTACTTCCTTCTTGTTTACTTTTATATTTCAGGTTGTGTTGCTATAGGTCCGTAGAAGTTTCCTGCTTTCGTTATATCGGTTGACTTCGTGTACTGCAGGGAAAAGCAGGTGGCGCTCTATATTTAATTCTTCAATTGATCCACACCCCTCTCCGCATTGGGAGCTAGTCGGCAACCCTTCACACGAAGTCCCGTTTCTAGATTTTAGCCACCGACCCTCTCTTTCTATTTTTTTGTTTTAGTTACCCGTTCACTGTCTCACTTCCTCAAATTTTAATATTTACCTTTCAATCGGTTTGACGGGTAATAGCAAATTTTAATTTTTTTCCATACATTTTTTTTCATAAATATTGATCCTTTCCTCATCAACTTGCAAAATTTCAAGCCAATCCTTCAAATACTTTTTCCAAAAAACAGAAATAAAATGTTCAATATCGTTTCTTGGAATCTTGATTCACAGAACGCTTGATTTTTTTTCAAAATGACATTGACACTAATGAGACACATCTCCTTACTTTCTAAATTTCAATCAAGTAATTAGGCTCGAAATACAAATCAACAATCAATTAGAAAAATAAAACATCCACCGACAATCCAATATTTCATTATGGCACTTTAAAATATTTCATTTCGATTTTTTTTTTTTTTTTTGATTCAATAAGTAATGAATGGGAACGCGTCAGTCGGTGACACATTAATCGGAAGGGTAGACAGCCTTTTTTGTTAGCAAAAATACGTTTCCTGAATATATATAAATGGAATATAAATATTTTATGACATTTGAGGTCTGGTCCTGAATAAACTGTACCTAATATCTTCAGGATGAGGTCCCATACCAATTATACTGGGCGTTTCTTCCTGAAATGATTCAAACCCAAAATGAATCAAACCTACTATAAAAACAAGTTGTTTATGTTTGTAAGCTTTTGCAGTAACAATTCAAAGGTTGGCGTGCAAAATCCGCCCATCACTTAACTTTGCTCCCTAAATCACCTGAACGAAACGAATACACCATTCGCTGTTTCGCCTCTTGTCTAAGTATTAATTGATATATGACACTACAGGGACAAGTCCGTTTCGTTTACCATTTAGAACGGTCTCTAGAGGCATTGATTTTAGAGGGTTCGTTTTGCTTTAAAATCAATACAGAGTGGTGTCAATACAAATTGATTGAATATAATAGACTTTTTTTTGTATGGTTAGTTGCCAAAGTGTATAGTGGTATAATGCCAATAGTTAACTGTGGGGGGTCCCAGTACGGTCGTATAATCCAATTAAAATTGGCCGCCAGGGAACCATGTATGACTGTTATCTACCTAAGCTGGGGCCCGTTTATAATTTACAAATTTAATGCAAGGATAAACCGTGCCTCCGTTCGCGTCGCCATAAGCATATTTAATAGTTTCAATCCCGAACGAAAGATTTATAAATTGATATCGTGACCAGGGGGACAGAGTATTGATGCCAAGATAATTAAGAAGACTACGTCATATAAATTTAATTAAATCGGGTGTAATGAGTATAAATTTCCGAAATGGCCAAAGCGAAGAAAGACAAAAGCATCGGAGCTAAAATGAAATTATTACTTATCATTTTTGTTCCGGAGAGGAAAAATAAAAAGAAGTCGGGAGACATTTCGCCGCTCTGGACAAATGCGAACGTTGCTCAAAGCTTATTGTAAGAGGCGCTGAGAAAAATGTTTCGTTGTTTAGAGATGGTCAAAAGAAAAAAAGAAGAATAATATTTAATTCTGTTTAGAGGTTTTGGTATATGGTTTGTTTAACATTAAGAATCCTTAATTAGCACAACAAGATAATTTCTCTCAGTGGAAATTCATAATCTTATAGAAAAGATTTTTAAGTATATTTATTTACTTATATTTTCACTAATTAATTTGATACTGTGAGAAAATTTTCTAATCCCCACACCATTGATCGGCTGATTCCCTGTATGATGTCAACCTAATATACGGCCTGTCAACTACGAGATGTCAACGCTCATATAATGCAATAACGCAAATTTCATTTAGTTTTCTTTGTTAATACAGTAATCAATTTTCTCTATCGATTCTCGTTTGATTCTTCCCGTGTACTCAACTTCTCTAAAAACTATCTTACAAATTGGCGCCCAACGTGGGGCCAAGGTGAGTTTCAAAACTGGTAGAGTGATTATTGTGTCCCGATCGCGATTTTTGTGTAGTTGTTCGACGAAACCCATGGTGTTTTTCGCGCTCATTTGGTACGGGAATCATCACCGAGAAACAGCCGAATTGTGAACAACTGTGACATATTAAATACCTACTGCGTGAGTTATCACCGGTTTTGTGGTGGCTAAGATGAAATGGCAGTGGGCCAGTCACC